GGCAGAGATGGGAAGGAGCCACTCTGCCCACGGAGGCATTTTCCAAAAGCACTGGACAAGTGACAACAGGAAATCATAACTGAACTAAATCTGCCTCTTCAACCTCATTATTAAGATTGGGATTATATGCTCTGGAGAAAGTTCAACCTCTGTTTAAAATTTAGGGAGGTGGGAACAAATGCTAGAAACCACGGGGAGAGAGGAAATGTTCCTGTGCTTGGTGACAAGTCCAGCTGGAAGGAAAGGTGGGGTGGCAGGGGATGGGGGTTCAGCCTCATGCCCTCTTTCCAGACATCAGGCTGCTGTTGGGGCGAGTGCTGCTAATCTCTTGGAAGCCTGGTAATTTGCTCCCTCTGCCTGAAGATTAAAGCAAATATTCCTCCGTTTCCATATTTAAAATTGTATCCACATCCAGTTCGGAAAGAAGACAGTGTCTCAGCTTACTTTGTACACTTGAGCTGAACCAAAGCTCCCGCAGATCTGGCCTCTGCCACCTCTGCCCTCTCCACACAGCACCTGATGCCCTCAGAAAACCTGTTGGCTTCGGCCCCAGCAGGAACAGTAAAATCCCCCCTTTGAAGACGGATTGCAGCAGCCAGGTCAGCCAAGCACTGCGTTGGCTGTGCCTTTACTGCTTCTGCTGCTGTTAATGACATCTGCATGCATCGGGCAGGTTAAAGCACCTGCCTCTGAAGGCAGCATGTTCAGAGACCCAGGCCCCAGCAGCATCACCCCAGAGCCAGCTCTTCCTTGGATGTAAAATTACCAACAGTGAAGTGTATCGGTAGGCAGACAGAGAGGTTTCCACCTGTGCCCGGGCGGTGTCCGTGGGCTGCTGTCGGGAGAAAAGCAGGAGCAAGGGAGAAGCACAGAGGTAAAAGTTATCTCGGGGCATGTGCTGTTTCCTTTACAGGCCTGCAGAGTCCGAAGCACTTTTATAGTAGTTAAACAATTGTTAAATAGTACTTCACCTTCAGGCCAGATAACAGTGCAAGCAGCCGCTGGCTGCCGAGTGACAGGCGGCTCGATAAAACCATCCACCCGGGAGAGGGGCTGTCCAGATCCCTTGGCCCAACGCCGCCTGTACCACACACCCTGTCTTGTTCCAGCTGCTGAAGTTTCCAAACTTGTGTTCCCCAAATGAAGCCCTGACGTCTGGCTGAGCAGACCTGCTTCAAAAGACACAGAGCACAAAGGTCTCCTAACCGCATCACGGCTCTGGGCTCCCAGGGTGGCAGCTGGGGATGCGCGAGCTTTAGGGAGCCAGGTCTGGAGATGTCGCTTTTAAATCCATCGTCTGAGCAAGCACCCGCTCCTCACCGTGGGCCTCTGTGGAGGATTTGCCAGCACGTGGCCCAGGGCTGTGAGGGCCAAAAGTGGGGTCATACCTGCCCTTCTGTGGGGCGGGGGTCCGGCGGAGAAAGGGAGGCGGGCAGGGGCTGGCAGCGGGGCAGGGGCAGAACAGGCGTGAGGCTCGTGTGTGGGACAACGCTGGCTCAACGTGACCTGGGAAATGAAATGAGGAGAGAGGAGGGGGGCTGGATTTCTTGTCGGGAGTTTGTTTTCATACGCTGAATTTCCTGCTCGGGCAATCTAGGTGTACACCACCACCACCACCCCTCCAGGCTGCCCCCAACGTGGAGGTAGGCTGGGGAGAAGCGGGCTGCCTGGCTGACTTTGCCGGAGGAAGAGGCGCTTACGGTAGAGGTGACCTTTCTAAATCCCTGCTTTGGACAGACATTTCTAATAAGTGCTGAAGAAAAGCCTGCCAGTTCCAGCTTTCTCAGCCTGCTCTCCATTTTCCTTCCATCCTCTCCAGGCTGAATTTAATCCGAGAAGGTTCCTTTGAGCTTTTGTGTGTTGCTGGGGGAGATGTGGGCGCACAAGGGATCGCGTTACAACTTTCATTTCCTGAAATGTTTGAGGGAACATCCAGGGTTTTATCCACACATCAGGCAAAGTTGAGGGCTCGGATTTCAGGTCTTGTCACTCAGCTGTCACCAAACAAATGAGCCTCTCAGAGCTGGAGACGGAGAGAGCTACCTGCTATTCATGACCCCGAAAGCAGGTGATCACTCATGGGAAAAGCAGGTAAAATTAATCATTCCGCTGTTCTCCATTTCCTCCCCTTTTTTGGGCTGACCTGGACCCAGTGTGAAATCTGTCCTGGGGGGTGGTGGTGAGCGGGAGCGGAGGAAGGGG